GGCAGGGGCGTGGCGCCTTCGACACGGTCCCCTTCCCGCGCGGAGCCGGCGGGGTCGTGTGCCCGCCCCGCGCGCTCTCTGCTGCCAGGTGTGGGGGGCTCGGTGATCGCTGCAGGCTGAGGGTGGCCTGCCGCGCCCGAGGGGCCTCCCTGGGGACCCCAGGCTGCCAGCGTGGGGTCTGACGGGCAGCCCGGGGCCGTGGCCTTGGCCCAGGTGCCCTGTGGGTCGGGACGGCGGTGCCAGGAGTCCTGCGAGCACCCAGAGTTCCGGCTTCATCTCCAGCTGGGGGTGGGGCTTGTGACTGGGCTCCAGGACCCTGTTGAGCTTCCAGCCAGGGCACAGCAGGGTCCTGGGAGTGGTCTCAGAGGGACCCAAGTGCCCACCACAGACTCCTCCGAACCTGCTGACATCGGCTGGGCATGGGCCGTGTCCTTGAATTTTGGGGAGGAAGCCTGGTAACAGGATCTATTGGCCAGGGGCTGGAGTCCCCCTGGGATTTCCAGTCAGTCCCCGACCACCCTTCCCTGAGCCCCCAGCCCTGTCTGCCCTGTGGTCAGGCCGTCTGCAGCCCCTGGTGTGGTCAGGACCCGCTGTGGGGCAGCAGGGAGACTGGAGCTCCCTGGGAAGGGAGGGACCAGGATGCCAGGGAAGCCGGAAGTCCTGGTAGGGAGGAAGCTGGCAGGACTGGGGAGTCCAGCCTGGACCAGGGAGGAGCTAGGGGGGCCAGAGCTGCTGCTGGGAGCGGGAGGGACACTAGCCCCCGGGGCCCTCGGCATGGCCTTCCAGAGTGGGGGTGCCCTTTACCAGGGTGTTTGGAAGAGGGTGGCCAAGTAGAGGTGGGTGGCTCCCGAACCAGGAGATGAGGTGGGGAGGCGGCAGGACACACACTTTGTAGCCTGTATTGTTTAAAACTCAAAGTGGGGGTGGGCAGATGGCCCTGTGTCCCCATCTCGAGTCTAAAAAAAAAGAGGTGACGCTGCAGACAGGCATCTTGGCAGGGGGACTCCCCTCCCAGGAATTCCCCAGCCAGCCCCCACCTTCCCCAGCCCAGGAATCCCCGGCAGGGCCCTTGTGGTGGGAGACTGTGGTCTGGTGATGCCGTTAGCCCTCCCCAGGCAATTCAGAGGGAAGCAGCAGTGGAACAAGCGGATGTCCGCACACCCTGCCAAGGCCCCTTCTGGACGTGGCCCACAGAGATGGCCGGGTGGCACCCACTCCCCAGCATCCTCCTGTTTTAGGTCTTTGCCTTGATCGTGTTCTCCTGCATCTTCGGTGAGGGCTACAGCAACACACCTGAATCTCAACAGTTGTACTGTGTATTCAACCACAACGAGGACGCCTGCAGATATGGCTGCGCCATTGGGGTGCTGGCCTTTCTGGCTTCAAGCTTCTTCTTCGTAGTGGACATCTATTTCCCCCAGATCAGCAACGCCACTGACCGCAAGTACCTGGTCATTGGTGACCTGCTTTTCTCAGGTATCCGCCTGCAGTGCCTCTGTCCTAACCCTAAGGACAGGCAGCAGAGCCAGAGGCATGTTAGGGGCCCCTGATTAAAGCCCTTGTGCCCGAGGTGGGCAGGGTCACCAGCCCCAATGAGCAGATAAACTTTACCTGTGTCCCATCCACCCTGGGCTGGGATGTAGGCTTTTGGAGCATCTGCTGAAAGCCACTGGTGTGCGGCATGAGGCAGATCCCTCCTGGCTGGGCACCCCCACTAGTCCTCACCTCTGCTTCTGAAGTTCACACATCCCTTGGATTCTGGGAGATCCTTGTCCTACTGGATCCCTGGAAAGCCCCTGTCCTTCCCTGGAGCCAACCCCTCCCCCATCCTCTCCCCAGCTCTCTGGACCTTCCTGTGGTTTGTTGGTTTCTGCTTCCTTACCAACCAGTGGGCAGCCACCAGGCCTGAGCACGTGCTGGTGGGAGCTGACTCAGCCCGGGCAGCCATCACCTTCAGCTTCTTCTCCATCTTCTCCTGGGTGAGTAGGCTGGGGCTGGGGTTCAGTGGCCGTGTACTTAAGCACAGTGATGAACCCTTTGCTCAGCATCCTGTGCCCTGCCCAAACTCACATCTCCCTGCAGGGCACACTGGCCTCCCTGGCCTACCAGCGCTACAAGGCTGGAGTGGACGCCTTCCTCCAGAACTATGTGGACCCCACCCCAGACCCCAACACAGCCTACGCCTCCTACCCCAGCGCGTCGGTGGACAACTACCAGCAGCCGCCCTTCACCCAGAACACAGATGTCACTGAGGGCTACCAGCCGCCCCCTGTGTACTGAACGGCACTGCAGGGCAGGGGAGGATGCCTTGTTCCCCAGGGCCTCCCCTTGAGGTCCCATGGAGCTGCAGCCCCTCTCCTGTCCCTGCTGACCGCCCAGAGAACCCCAGCCTTCCTGTGCCCAGTAGCACACAAGTGCCTGCTCCCAAAGGCGCCTCAGTCACCCACTCTTTGAGGGCATTTTTGAGGAAAGGTTAGCTAGATGTTTTCTCGTTGCTTTTTTTCTTCCCCCTTGGTGCTGGGGATGGAACCTAGGGCCTCACACACGCTAGGCAGGTGCTCTGCCACTGAGCTGCGCCCCCAGCCCCACGTTGCCTGGAATAGCCAGGTGCAGACAGGGGCCCACAATGTGCTGTCCTGACAAGCGCCTTAGTGTCGCCTTCACAAGGACAGCCAGTTAGCTGGGCTTTCTGCCAAAGATGGGGTCAGGGCCCCACACCTGGTTCTTTTTGGTGCTGGGCTGGGGCTCCCACCTCCTCACTCAGGTTTGCCACCTCCACCTCAGTGCCTTCAGCCCTGACGCCGTGCCCTGCTCGGCCTGGGCTTGGGCTATGTCCTCCGAGGGTCACCACTCTGTGCCAATCACTTCCAGGCTGGCTCCCTGACAGGGATGGTGCCTACCTGGGGGGCCGGTGGCACTTTCTTCTTGCTCCCTCCCTGGTAGCAGGGAAGGACTTTGCCTGATGTAATACCCAGCTTTATGTAAATATTCTGCCACCTTGGTTACCAAGTGTTGGGGAGAGCCACAGCCCCCAGACTGAATGTATTGGAAAGCCTTGGGGGTGATGCCCCTTGCCCTTGGATTGTTAGAATGGTTTGGAGATGGAATAAATGTTTTTCTCAGTTTCCACTGTCCTGGGTTGGACTTCAGCCTAGAGATGGCAGGTAGAATTCCTCAGGTGCACTCTTGGGGGGCTGTCCATGGGACCACATTGTGAAATTTTGATGTGGCATCCCCCTTCCCCCACCCTCAACCACCATCCTAAAATAGCCACTGTACTCAGCTTGTAAACAAGACAGGTTTTTCTGGCCTGCTTTGCTGGGTCAGGCTGCTGCCTTCCTACTGTTGAGAGGGTGGGGGGAACCCGGGAGCTGCCTTTCTGAAGACCCCTCCCTGTAACCCTTTCCATGCATGGCAGGCATGGGAAAGGTAGAGAGGGGTGGGTCTGGATCCTCCGTTTCCTTCCAGGTCAGTGCTCAAAGTACCTGGGAACCCCGTCCTAGGACAGGGCCTCTGAAGCAACCCCCAGCTTCTTTTGTGTAACTGTCTGGAGCTGTTAAAAGCCCCAAGAGTTTCAAAATCCCAGGCACACATGAACAAGTCCCTCCCAGTAGCTCCTGTGAGCTCCAAGCTTCACCAAACTGCCAGCAAGTGGGGACACAGCAAAGGGTAAAGAGGATGGGCCACCCAGAATATTGACCCTTATGCACCAGGCATGCAAGCATGGTGTGGACCGGGGCACAGGCCTCACCCTTGCACCCCCCCTGTGAACCAGGCCTCCAAGACAGCAGCTCCAGGCCTCTTGGGGGCGCAGCTGAGCTCACTCCTTGGGCCCCAGACTGTCCAGTGTCAGCTTCACAAACAACTTGACTTCCTGGCCCCTGCGGGCAACACCACCACCACCAGGGGCTTCCCAGCCTGGGGCCCAAGCTTCTTCATTTACCCGTTTTCATCCCTAAAACCAGACAAAAAGGCAGGCAACTGTTCTCGTAGGACATGGCCCTCAGTCTTTTCTCATAAATAGGCTTGGGTCAGAAGGACACGAGTTCTAGCATGAGATCTGGATGAAACCCCCACTCGTCCTGTGAGAGCAGCGTACAAGACCCAAAGCACCAGGCAGAAGTGAAATGAGGGCCAGGCATATAGCTGTGTGGCACAGTGCCTGCCTGGCAAATGTGGGGTCCTGAGTTCAATTCCTGGTACCACCTTTTTAAAAAAAAGTGAAATGTGGCTTTACCAGCTACTGACATCCAACAATGGCCATTAACATCAAGACACTGCAGCAAGAGGCAGGGCCCAGAGCCACAGAGCACCTTCCTCTTTTTTTTTTTTTTCTGGCACCAGGAATCAAACTCAGGACCTTGTGCTTGTCAGGCAGGCGCTTGTGCCGCTGAGCTACATCATCGGCCCCACCTTCCTCTTTTAAGAGGCCCGTTCCCAGCAGCCATGCTGCGGTGTGGTGCCTGAAAGATGACATTTTTCTGGAGAAACCACCGCTGCTTGAGCTAGAGCATAGGAAGGGATTTCAGTCCAAAGGGCAGCAGGGGACACGGGACCAGATGTCCTCAGAGTGGACAACAGGGCCCTCTGTGCAAGGCGGGGCTCTGGGGCGCTGGCACAGACATCCCAGGGAGAACAGAAACTCGGCAGTGAAAGCCACAAAGGAGGAAGCAGCCGGCAGCACCAGTGTCACAATAGCGTGTGGCTGTGCCGCGGCCTGGAGGAGACGGTGTGGACCCCAAACCAGCAGGTCTGGCTGGGGTGGAGACTGAGGCCCGTGGGCTGGCGAGGAGGGAGGACCTTTCTCACTGGGCACAGTTCTGGCTGCTCTACAGGGCCTCGCGGGGCAGCAGGACAGGGGCAGGAGGCTCCCCTGTGGCCCCAGGGTCCTCAGATGCCAGGGCCACACTGTAGCACCTGGTGAGGGGCGAAGAGCTTCCTGGCCACCGGGGCCTCTCCCGGCAGCATCGGGCAGTTCTCCTTGTCCAGCCCAGCATTCTGGACCGAGGACTTCTTGAAGTAGCAGAGGCGACACACGGAGTGGTACTTGTCTGCTCCACCAATCACCTCGACCTGGCAGCCGGGAGGGAAGAAAGGTCCGCAGGGTGTAAGGGGAGCCCCCGGAGGCAGAGCCACACCTGTCCACCCACCCCAAGGAGCAGCAGGTGGCTCTACCTCCTTCTCCAGGCCCAGCCTCTTGGTGTAGGCGGCTTCGCGGAAGCACTCCATGCACACAGCGGTCAGCTTCACCACGCTTTCCGCCAGGGGCACCAGGTTCAGGATGCTGCCAAAAGCCTGCGGGCACAGGAAGACACAGGTGCGCTCGGATGCTGGGCCGTGCTGTTTGACACCTTTGATCCAGGAGCACTGAAGAGGAACTTTCACCTTGACCTTGCCCTCCCTGGCCGCACACCCTGCTCTGTCCTCCACGTTCAAAGCATCTGCTGACAGCAGATGGCATCCAGACAGGACAGACCCAGGAGTCTGAGCTCAGGCAGTGCCCTCCTTTGCAGCTGAGCTTTGGCCATCACAAGAGTGCTGTGTGGTGGCAGAGAAGGGGCACACTGGCCTGTGTCCAACCAGGCCCCTTCCTCCTCCTGATCCACCCCCAGGGACCAGGCGCCTCACCTTCCTCTGAAAGGTCCCGTCCAGGGCCGCCACAATCACTGTCTTCCCGGTGTTGGCCATGGCCTCGCAGAACTCCACAATGTCAGGGAACTGAAAGAGGGGCCGGGTGGGGGGAGAGTGAGCTGCTGGCCCAAGCAGCAGCTTTCTGGAGCCTCAGAGAGCTGGCCTGACTCATTCGACAGTGCAGATCTGTGTGGAGCTTGAGAACAAGGCGACTTGTGTGCCCCTGAGACTCCCCAAACCTGGGGACTGGGGTCCACCCACAGGCCCTCCCAGCCCACCACTGCCCAGACCCTTCTGATGGCACAGCCGTGTGCTGTCCCACCAGGCAGGGGGCAACTACTATAAGCCAGGGAGAGAGGCCTAGATCCTTCCTTCAAGGGCCTGCCCACAGCTTGATCTTGGACCTAGAGCCTCCACAGCAATAAGGTCCTGTTGCTTATGGCCCCATCTGCAGTGCTGTTAGGACAGCCCTGGGAGCTCAAGGCAGGGTCCGACTAAAGTAGAACTGAGCTGGTTGCTGGGGTGCACACCTCTAATTTTGTCTGCTTGGGAGGCTAAAGAAATAGGATGGCACGTTTGGGGCCTGCTCAAGCAACTTAGTGAGATTTGTCCCTAAATAAAATTCCATAAAGAGCTGGGGCCGTAGCTCAGTGGTAGACTGCTTACCTGGTGTGTGCAAGGCCCTGGGTTTAATTCCCAGCACAGCCTAAACAAACAAACAAATAAATGGAACTTCAAGGACCTCAGGGCTTTCTCAGTAGATAAGTCACTGCAGTGTGGGATTCATGCATGCAGAAAAGGCAGCAAGGAGCCCACTGATAGTGACAAGTCTGCCTACTGGAGCTCATCAGCTGTTTCTGCACCTCCCAAGCACCTGAAGTCAGGCCTGCCCAGAACTCAAGATCTTCCTGTCTCAACCTTCCTAAGTGCTGGGATTACAGGCAGGTGCCACGTTCTTCCCAGCCTCTGCTGAACAAGTTAGTCTTAAAGGGATGGAGGGAACTCAAAGGCAAGATTAGGAAGCCTGGGAATGGACTGTCACCTTTTTCAGAACCTTGCTAAGCGCTGGCCAGCTCATGCAGTGGCCAGAATGAATACTGGCTCTGCCCAGGGGAGGCCTCTGCTTCCTGCCATTCAAGGCCCCATGGCAAAGGTGAGGATGTGACAAAGTGAGGCAACAAATTCCCAGTGGTGAGAGACGAAGTCAAATGCCACAAATAAAATTCAAACAAATGAGGAAGAGATGTTCACAGCAGGATCAGGGACACCAACTATTAAAAAGAAGAAAGAAGGGAGGGGGAAGGAAGGAAAGGTGGAAACCCCAGAGAGGTGGCTTACAAGAGGAAAAAGAGCCGGGTGTGGTGGCGCCCCCCTGTAATCCCAGCACTTGGGAGGCTGAGGCAGGAGGATCACTGTGAGTTCAAGACCAGCCTGGGCTACAAAGTGAGCTCAAGGCCAATCTGAACTGCACAGCGAGACCCTGTCTCAAAAAGACAAAAACAAAAAAACAAAACAAAAAACGTACATTCTTGATCAGGCACACTCAAGATGGGTGGGCAAACATGTGCTGCAGGGGTTCAGAATCCACCCTCCGTTTATTTGCTTTGCCTGGTAGATTCCTTCTGTTGGGGTTCCTGGGGTTGTAGCCCTTGTTATCTCTTTCTAGAATGTCCTTCAAAATATTTTGGAGTGTTGGTTTGGTGGTCATAAATTTCCTCGGATGTTCTTTGTCATGAAAGTATCATTTCTCTAGCAATTTTGAAAGATAGTTTTACAGGGTGCATCGATCTGAGTTAAAGGTTGTTTTCCTTTAGAGCTTGAAATACTTCACTCCAAGCTCTCTTTGACTTGAGGGTTTGTGCTGAGAAGTCAGCTGTGGTTCTAATGGGATTTCCTTTATAGGTGATTTTTTTTTTTTTTCCCTAACAGCTTTTAAGATTCTATTCTTGCCAGGTGTGGTGGCACACACCTGCAATCCCAGCACTTGGGAGGCTGAGGCAAGAGGATCGTTTCGAGTTCCAGACCAGCCTGGGCTACAAAGTGAGCTCAAAGCCAGCCTGAACTGCATAGCGAGACCCTGTCTCAAAAAGACAAGAAAAAAAAAAAAAAGATTCTATTCTTGTGTTGAATTTCTGGAATATTGACTATGATATACCTGGCTATGTATTCAAATTTTTTCTCTACCAGAGTTCTCTGCTATGACATCTGTGAACAGTTCTTTTATACTATTTGTGCTATCCATTTGCACTATCTCCTGCTTTTTTATTTACTCCAATCAATCTTAAGTTATTCTTTGCATCACCTAGCAGTTGCTGTATTGATTTCTCATGGCCTTTTGATATTTTTAAGAAATATTTCTTTTCATGATCTTTAACTGCAAGCCTGTCTTCTATATCTGAGATCCTGTCCTCACATTGGCTTAATCTGCTGTGAATATTTTCAATGGAATTTTTATTCTCCTGGATATCTGCTTGAATCTGCTTGATGGATTCCACTTCTTTCCTCTGCTGAGCATGCATGGCTTCCATAATTTTCTCAAGTTCCTCTTTTTTTGGTCTGTATCTCCTCTAGAGTCACTAAGCATGGTTTTCATTGTGGACACCATCGCTGCTGTTATCTGAGAAATTATTTCTGATTTGATTTTTTCTAGAGTGTCATTCAATTGCTTTGTTGTTACCACTTCAGAGAGGCCGGGTGAGTGGCTTTCAGATTGTCCCACCTCACTGCCCCTTGGGTTTGCCGTTGGTGACCTGAACGCCTGGGGTGGCACCTTGTCTGAGTGTCTTCTCATTTTCTTTTCTTTTTTTAGTTTAATTCCTGGGGTGATGTCTATAAATTGCCTATGGTGGGTTGCTTTATTGCTAGTATTTAGAACCCTTAGAATATGACTACTTCTAGTTATCTTTCAGGTATAGCTGGTTTTGGGGTTTTGAGTCCGTTGCAAGATGCTATCTCTTCAGTTTGCTAGGGACGAGAAGTTGTTGCCTGTTTGGCCCAGCTGTTGGTTCTTTGGCACTGTGCACAGTATTTTTTGTGACCCTTAGTCTCAGTCTTGGAATACCAGGAAGAATAGCTGTTTAGAACAATTATGTCACTTTTGGCTATAATGGCACCAATGACAATAACATAAAAGACAGCCTGGAAAGTCACAAACTGAGGTAACCATTAATTTGCCACCTTTAACTGTATGAACTAGATTTGTGGTTATATAACAAAATTAAAACAAACCAGAAAATTGTACGCAGTGTACAAGTCCTTAATATGTCTATTTTGCCTTCAAGGGTTAAAATTTAAAATGGGTTAGGGAGAAAGTAGAAAAGTGGAACAGATTAGAAGTAAGGCTGGAGGATAAAGGGAGATCATGCTAACCTGGGAAACTGGTGCAGAAGTCTGGAAGGAAAGAGAAGGAAGGGCTGAAAAGAAGAACAGAACAGAACCACAACCACAAAGAGGCTAGAAAGCACACTGACACTCATAAAAACAAGATCAAAAAATGAAGGAGGAAAAAAACACCAGAAAACAAAAGAAAAAACCAAATCAAAACTCCAATGACAAGCCGGGCATAGTGGTGCACGCCTGCAATCCCAGCACTGGGGAGGCTGACACAGGAGGATTGTTGCGAGTTCAAGACCAGCCTGGGCTACATAGTGAGTCTAAGGCCAGCCTGAACTGCATAGCGAGACCCTGTCTCAAAAAGACCAAACAAAACACACAAACAAACTACAACAACAACACAAATGAGAGAGAAAGAGAAAGAAAGTCCACTTCGGGGTTTGTCTCCGCTGTTCGTGGTAGACAATGTGTGGAGACGGAGTCCTGTTAGTGTTGATTTATCCCAGCAAGCCAGCAGTAGCTTTTTGGCAGGGTAGGGCATAATCTCAGTGAGCCTGTACCTTTTGGCGGTCTGCAGCCATCAGTGCACCTTCCTCAGGCCTGAGCCCAGCTGGGAGATGGAGTAGATGGAGTCAGCAGCTACTCTGCGTTCTGAGCTCTGCCAGCCCCTCTCCAAGATGGCTCCCAGCCAATTGTTGTCTTGCACAGGATGCCTGAGCCCTCAGCACTCACTGCCAGCTAGTGCAGTCCTTCACGTCTGCTGCGTCTCTCTGTGGAGGCCTCTGGGTTGCCAGTGCGTGTGTCCGCAGGTGTGAACTGCTCCTCTTGCACAGTGCGTCCAGTCTCAGGGAGAAGGCGCCACCAGCTACCTGCTTCTTTACTGAAGTTTCTCTCTTCACTCTCTCGATGGGCTTCAGATTGTGCCTCAGATCCTTCCAGGCTGTAGGGGACTCACTTCCCTCCTTGTCTTCCCACTTCGCTATATTCCAGCGTCTGGACGCAACTCTCAGAAAGGCTCTTTCTCTGCTGCTCACCACTCCGCCATCTTGCGACCCCTCTCTGGGGTTCAGAATCCAGCATGACAACTGGCAGCCTGGCATCCAACTCAAAGGGAGACACCCCACATGTGGAGGTGGGGGGCAGTCTTCCTCTCTGTAGGAATGTTCAGGAGCCATGACTTGCAGTGGGTGAGGACCGAGCCAGCAGGTTTTGCACTGGGAGTCAGGGTGAGCAGAGATTGCTAACCACTTACAAAGAACCGCTCAACAAACTTCCTCCTCAGGGTATGGGACCAAGTGCAGTTAGGGGATCATGCTCAAATTCCAGCCAGCAGATCAGCAGAGGTGACTATCTGACTTCCAGCATGAAAACCCCACACTGGGGAGTTCTGCAGGGTCTTTCTCCTTCCACTGTCTAGATGGGAGCCACCCAGGGGTCTGGATCCCCATCACCCAGGGCCACCCAAAGAGGGAGGATGGCAAGTCTTGTGGGTGGGAACTATATGAAAAACAAATTTCAGTAGTGCAATATACTTGAATCACCACAGTGTGTACCTTGAATAAATACATCCCATCCTTATATGCATGCAGTGGGGGCTGAACCTGAGGACACTCTATCACTGAGCTATATCCCTTATTTTATTTTGAGACAGGGTCTAAATTGTCTAGGCTGATTAAACACTTCCTGCCTTAGTTCCCCTGTGTGATGGGATTACAGGTACACACCACCACACTTGGCTTAAGTAAAGTTTTTAAAAAATGTGTGGTCTTAAGTTCCCGGAATTGGAGGTATGCTTATTATAGCAGCTCTCCTTACCCTGCTCAGCCCCAGTGGATTGGAGGTGCCCTGACCTTAAAGCTACAGAGCCGGCCACAGATACTAGTTTAGGCGCCTTAACCTTGATATTTTACTAAAATATCAGAGATAGAGTTAATAATGTGCAAACCAACAGGAGGAAGGGGGACAGAGAGGGAGCCCCCAGGAAGCGATACCACGACAAGTCAACTCACAAACTGCCCCTCGTCGATGCCTATGACAGCCACACCCAGGGCTTCCTGGGTCGTGTCCCGGAGCAGGCAGGCTGGCAGCGCCTCCATAGTGTTCCTGAGAAAGGAATGCCAGAGCATGAGCGAGGCTGGGGAGACCAAGCCCCCAGAGCAGGCCAGAGGGGCGAGGTTCTGCCGCTGCTGCAGCCACCCCCTCCTGGCACAGCAGCCTGCAGCGTGGCCCAGCACAGCTGTGGGAAGTCAGCATCTGTGGGGAGAATAAAGGCCCAGGGGCAGAAAAGCAGTTATTTGACACTTTGCTTTTTGTTTTTGGTGGTACTGAGGATTGAACGCAGGGCCTAATTTATCTTGAGACATGATTGTCCTAGGTTGTGAACTGCCCAGGCTGGATTTGAACTTGTGATTCTCCCACCTCAGCCTCCCACAGTGCTGAATTACAGGCATGAGCTACCACACCCTGCTCACTTGACTCTTTGGACTAGAAATTAGCAATGTCTGATACGAAGTTCAATATAGATTCAAAGCTCTTCTAGCCATCAGTGCAGTGGGTGGGGACAGACAAGGCCAGCTCTTCTTTTGGTGCCTGCTGTCAATCCAGGGTTTTGGGCATTCCAGGCAAATGCCCCACCACTGAGCTACAGCTCCACCCCAAGACTGAATTCTTCATGGTGCCCAGGACCCAAGATACTCTTAAGGACTGATAAAATGTTTCCATCTTTTTTTTCGTTGTCCCCCCCCCTCCCCCGTACCGGGAATGGAACTCACGACCTCGTGCTTGCCAGGCAAGTGCTATGCCACTGAGCTAAATCCCCAGCCCTGTTTCCATCTCTTTTAAAACTCAAATGAAAAAATAAACAAACTCAGTCTGGATTATTATACTTCTCTTTCTATCAATGCTATCAGAGAACACAGTTTAAAGTTTAAAGGGAGCCTGAGGTGAAGCTCAGTGGTACAATGCCCTGGGTTTGTTTCTTAGCAGAAAACAAAAGAAAAGGCTCACAATGAAGGAGGCAGCAGTGTCTGTGCACCAGGAAAGCCAAAATATGGCTCTGGGCGGCCCATGAGCCCCACCTCTGAGACTAGGACAGCCAGGCTCCAGCAGGGAGAGCAAGGACCTGGAATTTCCTCCAAGTAGGCACCCCCAGCAGATTAAAGGATTTCTCCAAGATCACAAGGCTATTTTTGGGCAGAGCCAGGAGGCAACTGGTCTGATTCCAGCCTTGAGTGAGGACATGCTGTGATCCTAGAGGAGGGATCCCACCCAGCAGAGGCGGAAAGTAAGAGGGATGGTTGGGAATGGTCCAGGCCCACTAGATGACACTCTGGACCCCACCTGATCCCCACAGCCAGGACTTTTTCTGGACAGAAATGCTGTGCTGTGTCCTCTGCCTTTTTAAATAGTTTTTATGTTTCCACAATGTTATTTTCTTCGCATTTCTGCCTAATCTTAAGAACTAAACTTCACAGAGAGTAGTTTCCTGGAAGACTCGACAGTTTGTCACCGTATGATAATGATCCTCGAGATCCGAGGAGAACATGAAACATTTACACACTTTAAATTCCCTCGCCAAATACGGAAGACCAGTGGGAGGACAGGCAGAGAGCCAGCCGTGGCTCCGGCGTCTCCAGAGCTTTGTCAGTGCCACCAGTGTGAGAGACTTGTGACCCGTGCAGAACTCTTCAGGTCACTCTAGAAGTTCACCCTGTAACCACTGTACAATGTCACTTCTCCTCCACCGCCCCCTGGGTGCTCAGCCCATCCGTGCAGAGGACAGCAGGGAGGTGAACTTGGAGACTGGAACTGTCTCAGATGCTTAACCATGATGTGTGGCCTGACTCCCTGCACATACTCCACTCCACCTGCTTTCCACCTTTTTTGTTTGTTTTCCGGTACCGGGAATCAAACTCAGGACCTTGCGCTTGCCAGGCAGGCGCTGTGCCGCTCAGCTAAATCCCCAGCCCCCTCCACCTGCTTTCCAGGTTCACAAACTCCCCAGCCCCCACCCCGGGCCGCGCGCTGCCGAGCAGCAGTTCTGTCTCTGGGCAGCTGACAGCAGCATGTCTGTGTCACAGAGGCAAGTCCAGAGGACAGAGGATACTGCCTGGACTCAGCGTGCCAGCACTAAATCTGCCGCCACGGAACTGAATTTAACTCCCGCCCAGACGTTTCTGCCGCCCGGAGGTTGCAGGTAGAAATGTCCACAGTGCTCAGGCGGATAAACATAAAACCCAGGATCACAAAGGCTACAAGTTGACGAAGCTAGCTGGGGCAGATGACTAAGAAGTTAAAAATCAGCGGGCAAGCCAAATAACCAGTTCGTAGCCTCTGATGAGTGTGAACTCTAGAGCAAGGTTCCCCAGCCTGGGCAGTCTGGATGCAGGTCTGGAGCCACACCGTTCTAGGCGTGGGGACTCAGGATGCTGCAATCACCCCTGACCGATACTCATTACAGGCCAGGAGCACCCTGACTCCCTCCAGGTTGAAAACTAAAGACGCCTCCAGAACTTGTCAAATGGCCTCGGGGTACAAGTCCCTTCCCGCTCCTGTTGAGAACCACCACACAAGAGCTACCTTGCTAGGCCTGGATTTGAAGCAGTCAGGGCCAGGAATGCGAATTACCAACCAGACCCACTAAACAGCTCCGCGTCCCGGGCCTTGCGATTTTCCAAGGGACAGGACGCGAGGGGCAGGACTGACCTGTCGTGTGTGGAGAAGCTGCTGCTGTAGCGCGTGTCTTTGGCGTACTTAATGACCAGGCACTTGTATTGGGCGATCTGGAAGCGGCGTACCCGCCTCATCAGCTCCGTGCTGCGAGGGACAGGATGAGTGAGGCCGGCTCACAGGGCGGGCGGCCACCGCCCTCTAGTGGTGGGCAGCCGGAACCCCTCCCACCCCCCCACGGAACGCGAAGAGCAGCGACAGAGCGCTGCGGGAGAAAAGGGCGGGCTGAGCTGTGCCCGGCTGAGCATCCCCTGCGGCCTGTAGTCAGCGCTCGCCGCGGGGCCAAGAACCTTGTCTAGCGGCCCCGCATCGAGCTGACGTGCAGGAGTCTCGGGGACGAGGGGGAGAAGGTGGGCAGAGGCTGGCCGCATTTCCAGGGCTGCTAGGTTTTTCCGGATTAACCCGAAAAGCCTGTTTCTGGGCCCCAACGCCCGACCCTGAGCTTCCTGCTCCGAGCAAAGGGTTGGGGCCGGAGTGTCGGTCGGGGGCCTTTACTCCATCTGTCCCGGGAAAGGCCCCTCACCGGGGGAACGGTGGCCAGGGCTGCACGGCTTCAGGGAACTCCGGAGGGGGACGGAAGTAGGTTCCGGGCCACACAAGGAAGGAGCCACGGGGCAGTATCCCGACACTGGCTGGCTCACACTGGATACACCCAGGCGCCCTTTCTGAGGATTTTTTTTGGGGGGGGGGGCGGCTAGGCTGCAGCCGGCTCTGTCCAGCTGCGGGAAGGGGCGAGCCCCAAGGGGGCGCGCGCAGCTTCCTTCAAGACTGGGTTCCTGGGAGGAGAGGAACGCGGGGCGGGAAAGCGCGGGCGGGGCGGGTGCCCCGGGTGGGACATCCGGGAAGACACGGGGGAGCACAGGGGTCCCCGGAGAGGCATTACCTTTTCCCTGAGAACATGGGCCCGAGAATCACCTAGGAGAGAAGAAGAGGTCACGGTGGGGGCTCCCCCACCCGGACGCCGGGCACCACCCCGGGCCCCGAGCCCCGCACCTGGATTTGGCCCCGAGTCTTGCTGGGGGAGCCGGGCAGCACCGAGGGCAGGTTGATGCAGCTCATGGTGTCTCCCAAAGGACGCAGCAGCGCCAGGGACTTCTGCGCCTGTCCGCCGCCTGCCGGATTACGCTGTTTCCCGCGCAGTCCCGTTCGAGCACAGCGCGGGGCCAATCGGGAGCCCGCTTCCCCGAGCCAATCAGAGCCTGCAGTCCCACGGAGGATTTTTTTTTTTTTCTTTTCTTTTCTTTTTCTTTTTTAATTTTAGGGTTCTGTTCATGCAGGGTCTCCCCCCCACCCTCTTTCTCTCTCTGTAGTTCAGGCTGGCCTCGATCTCGTGATCTTCCTGCCTCAACCTCGCGAGTGCTGGGATCCGGGACAGATTTAGCCGCAAAGATTTACTTGTCTTGGGAAGAATCCGGAGGGGACCGGGTGGGAGCCCCGCGTGGGAGTGAACAGTGGGCGGATTAGGCAGGAGCGATTCACTAGCTATGGGGCAGGGGGCGGGACCTTGACGGACCCGCCCCCACTTGCGGCGGAATGTGAATTGCGCCGCGCACAGCCCTCGGTTGGGGACCAGCATGGAAGCTCCGCGAGCCGGCCTTGGGGCACAGGCTCCCTGGAAGGAGATGTCTGCAGAGGTAGGCGGGCTGCAGGGAGGGCTGGGGCCGCGGAGGCTGGCTCCGAGGCTGCCCTGGGATTCTGAGGGGGCGCTTCTGCAGTTGCTCGTGTGCCAGGTCCCAAAGGCTTGGGCGCAAATTCTGTTTGACTTTTTTGCAACGGCAGATTTTTGTTTGTTTCTTTTGCCAGATTTTTGAGGAGAAAGAAAACTGAAATCCTGGCTATGTCAGTCTGCTAGGTAGGCCGGGCATGATGGTGCACGCCTGTAATCCCAGCACTTGGGAAGCTGAGGCAGGAGGATCTTCGCTAGTTCGAGACCAGCCTGAGCTACAAAGTGAGCTCAAGGCCAGCCTGAACTGCATAGCGAGACCCTGCCTCAAAAAGACCAAAAAAAAAAAAAAAGTCTCCTAGGTAGGCCCTTCAAGTTGGGGGCAGAGTTTAGACCTTAACCCCAGGTTGCACAGTGTGCCTGGGTCTGCGATGAGAGTTGCACAAATGCGTGTTTACCATGGGGCTGCTGTGAGGTCGGAAAGGACACGAGAAGGGACATAGTACAACGCCTGGCATTTGCTGTGACATTGTTGGGTTATAAGTTCTTAAATAGGTTCCCTACATTTTAGGGTGTTTTTCTGGGCTAAGGTACCTGTGAGTATCTGGGGTTTTTGTTTGTTTGTTTTTTGTTTTTTCCCCCGGTACGGGGAATCGAGCTCTCGACGTTGCACTTGCCAGGCAGTCGCTGTGCCGCTGAGCTAAATCCCCAGCCCAAATAGTTTTTTTTTTTGACCTCCGAGTATCTGATGAAAGATACAGATACTGCCCCAGGAAATCCCATTCCCTCCCCTCCCTCCTTGCTTCTCCTTCTCTTCCTTCTTTTCCTCCTCTTCCTCCATTCCCCTCCACGTACACACTTGCCTACCGTATCAGCTGACTCTCAGACACCCACTGTATTGACAATATCATAAATAGTAGCGTCCTCAGCTGGGTGAGATGATGCACAACTGTAATTCCAGCACTCAGGAGGCTGAGGTAGGAGGATCACCTCGAGTTTGGCCACCCTGAACTACACATTGAGATTCTGTCTTGATAAGTAAAGTCTTCAAGTCCAGAAGCTCATTCCACAGAAAAACTAATGTCCAAGAGCCGAGTGCTGGGGAGAAGGAGAGGTCTTATTTTGTGGCCAAAGAATGGGAAAGACAGAGAGAGCTCTGGTCACAGCTGATTTCCCACTGCAGTCTGCATTCCTAACTTTCATCAGATTCTCAGTGCCTCCAGTCAAGAAGAAACGTTACAGACCCTGGTAGGAATGAGGGAGAGAGAGAGGCTAGTAACAGGGATGAATAGTCATGCCTTTTCTGGAGCACCTAGAAACCTAGAAAATCAACTGCTACCTCTTTTTTTTTTCTTGTCTTTTTGAGACAGGGTCTCACAATGCAGTTCAGGCTAGTCTTGTTCCTTCTTTTTTTTTTTTTTGGTACCAGGAATCGAACTCAGGACCTTGCACTTGCCAGGCAGGTGCTATGCCACTGAGCTATATCCCTGGCCCTCAGGCTAATCTTGAACTGACTTTGTAGCCCAGGCTGATCTCGAACTCACAAGGATCCTCCTGCCTCAGCCTCGTGAGTGCCGGGATGCGCCACCACACCTGGCTTATCTTTTTGAGTCTTTCATGGGCTGGTGTTTTCAGTCATGGCAGCTTGCAGATGTCTTTATCCTTGCAGGGAGAGGAAGGAGGGCAAGTTAATCCTGTGTTAGTGTTTGGACAAAACATTTCTTTTTTTGTTGTTTTTTTTTTTGTTGTTTTTCTCCGGTACTGAGAATTGAACTCACGACCTTGTGCTTGCCAGACAGGCGCTTTGCCGCTGAGCTAAATCCCCAGCCCTGGACAAAACATTCCTCAGGTGGCCAACAGGTTTACCTGCAGAATGAGTAGAATCTGATGCAAAGGGGGAAAAGTACGACATGAAGACAGATGCTAAGCCTTGTCATCCTATTCCACTTAGCCCATGGGACCTCTACAGGCCCAAGTGAATAGTCGGTGTCCTAAGCAACCATGATCCTCATAACCTGCATGGTTATGACAGCAGTCTAGAAGGAGGTGAATACACTGCCCAGCCGCATGGCTTTGGAAATGACTGATCCTTAAGTTAGCTAAGAGCTAGGCTTTTCCCTCAGTAACAGAGGTGGTAAAGATAATGGCAGCAGGTAGACGAGTGCCAGGTGGGGCCCCCAGCATCCTCCAGGTGATCACTATATGGGGAGGACTGTATGGCTCCAAGGGCCTCTGGCAAGGACCCCATTCCACAGAAGGCAACAGCCCATGTGGGGGGACTCGCCTTGTGGCATCTTCACGCCATCTCCACTCCATCTCTTAGCCTTGGGAGGGGCCGGTATGCCCATCATACCGGGAGAGAACAGAGCAGAGACAAGCGAACTGCCCAGGCTGGGGCAGCCAGGAAGTGATGAAGATTGGACAGCTTTTGGTCCAAGCCTTTCTGTGAAACCGTTCGGTCTTCAGGTTTCCCATGATGACGACTTGAACCCTTTGTCCAAAATCTGTGTTAAATCTAAACATTTTGGCCACACGTTCAAGAGCCTGTGACTGAGCGTAGTGGTGAACACCTGTAATCCCAGCACTCTGGAGGCTGAGATAGGTGGATCACCAAGAGTTTGGCCAGCCTGGACTGCATAACGAGACCCTATATCAAAAAACAAAACCAACCAACATATCTTGGGGCTGTTGGCTGGTTAAAGGCTCAGCCTGCTGGGCGTGGTGGTGCACGCCTGTAATCCCAGCGCTCAGGAGGCTGAGGCAGGAAGATCGTTGCAAGTTTGAGGTCAGCCTAGGCTACAAAGTGAGCTCAAGGCCAGCCTGCACTGCATAGCAAGACGCTGTCTCAAAAAAGACAAAAATAAATAAATAAATAAAGGCTTGGCCATTGCCGATATGGCCCTAGACCAGGGATCTGAGAGTATCTTGGTTGTCTGTCTGAACAAACCCAGTTGGGAGTGTGGAGAGCAGATGTCCAGGCTGTCACTAGAGGGGCTTCATGGAAGCCGAGGGCATCTTGGAGAATCTGAGGTACCAGAGGGCGTGCTTCTCAAGGTAGAGAGGAGCACCGGGCACAGGCACTGGCAGGGCCACGCTCAGAGAGAATGGAAGTCTCAGGGAGCCTCTGTCCATCCGGCAGGAGCTGGAGAAGCAGTATTCGCCCAGCAGGTGGGTTGTCCGAATGGAACCAGAGGAAGCCCTGAGGACCTTCTGGGAGAAGGGAACTGAAGGTACGTGAGTGTCCTGAAGCCTGTGACAGCGGCTCAGGGTGGCGAGGGGGACTGAGAGGCATCCCCCAAAGACCGGGCACTGGGCGAGCCTCCTCCACTCCGGCATCAGGTGCCAGAGTGTCCTGTTGCTGCAGAACGGGGTGCAGGAGAGACCCAGGGGAGGCCCAGAGCCTGGTCGAGTGCGGCCTCCTCTCCTGCTTAGGTAACTGGTCGCAGACCCTGAAAGCCTCATGCTGTGGTTCCCACAGGAAAGTGAAGGGGAAAAAGGAAGATTCTTAGCTCTATTGCTGGAGGGGAGATATTGTTGCTATTTGTAAAAAACAACTAAAAGCCGGGCATGATGGTGCATGCCTGTGATCCTAGCACTCTGGAAGGGTGAGGCAGGAAGGTCAAAATTAATTTGCAGGCAAGCTATAATCCCAGCACTCAGGAGGATGAGACAGGAGGATTGCCAAGAAGAGTTCAATGCCAGCCTGGGCTACATAGTGAGACCCTGTTTTAAAAAGGAGCGGGGAGCCTGGGATATAGCTCAGTGTGAAGGCCCTAGACTCAATCTCCAGTACAGAAATAGAAAGAGAGAACAACTTTCATAAGGATATTCCTTAACCCGATGTCGGGGCTAGAGAGGCCATGGGGCCAAGAACCTACTGAACAAGCCAGGCGTGGTGGCGCACGCCTGTAATCCCAGCACTCAGGAGGCTGAGGCAAGAGGATCACTGCAAGTTCGAGACCAGCCTGGGCTACAAAGTGAGCTCAAGGCCAGCCTGAACTCCACAGCGAGACCTTGTCTCAAAAAAGAACCCCCCCCCTCAAAAAAAAAGAACCTACTGAACAGCCAGGAGCCTGAAGGCAGTGGTAGAGCAAGTTCCAGCAGTAACTCCCTGCCCCGCCCCACCCCACCCAGCACTGCTGGCTTGCAGGAAGGTGAAATGATAAAAGGGTGGGAGACGCTCCTTGAATTTCGACTTTTGTCTTGCTGAGCCTTTCTTACGGAATTAGGGTGTGTTTTGTTGATATTGGCTCTATGAAAGTTAGAGTAGGGGCCAGGGAATCAAGGACTGGGGTAGCTTGGCACCTTTTATTTTTTTTTTATTTTTCATTTTTAAGACAGGGCCTTGCTATGTAATCCAGGCTGACCTTGAACTCACTATATCACTGGCCTTGAACTCAAGGTGATCCTCCTGCCTCAGCCTCCTGAGTGCTGGGATTATAGGTGTGTACCACCACACTCGGTTTGTAACTCCATTCTTCAAGAAGGTTTAAGAGAAGGCTCTGACACCCGGGTGTCGTGGCACACACCTGTAGTGCCAGCTACTTGGGAGGCAGAGGCAAAGGGATCACCAGGAGTTAGAGGCCAGCCTGGGCTACATCATAGTGAGTTCAAGCCCAGCCTGAACTACATAGTGAGACCCTGTGTCAAAAAAAAAAAAAGAACAGAGAAAGAGTTTGAGCAGTGAGCATGTGGTTCGGGCTTTCCTCCATTCTTACCTCTCTGTAAAGAAGACCAAGACCCCACATTGGGCATCAAGCGTGTAACCAGCTCTTTCCTGCTCTGGGTTCTCCTTCTGGGGCAACAGAGTATAGCAAGTGGTGGGGAGGCCTGGATGTGTGTTTATCAGAAAGAAACAGCTGAGCATAGTGGCGCACACCTGTAATCCCAGCTCTGGGGAGGCTGAGGCAGGAGGATTGTTGCGAGTTCCAGACCAGCCTGGGCTACAAAGTGAGCTCAAGGCCAGCCTGAACTGCATAGTGAGACCCTGTCTCAAAAAGACAAAAAAAAAAAAAAGAAGGTTTTAGGTTACTAGAGTAGTCAAATTCACGTAAAGCATGCTGGTTTGCAGGGATTGTGGAGGGAGTTAATGTTTAATGAAGACCAAATTCCTGTTTGGGAAGGTGACCAAGTTCTGGAAATGGCTCGTACAGATGGTTGCACAACAGTGTGAATGTGCTTCATGCCACGGTTAAAATATTTTTGCATCATACTTTATTGATTATTGTTGTTATTATTATTATAGTTTTGGAGACAGGGTCTTGCTCTATATTCAAGGCTGGCCTGGAACTCACCATGTAGCTCAGGCTAGCCTTGAACTTGCATAGATCCTCCTGCTTCAGCCTCAGAAATACTGGGCTTATGGGTATGCACCACCACACCCACCTTACATTGTATTTTACTACACAGCTGTATGTTAAAAATGTGCACCAAACGTTTCTTGATGTAGGCTGCACTATTTTCTATGCTGTTCCGTCATGTTTAGTGGCCGACTAAATTGCTTTCCAAGGCTCTTGTTTGCAAAGCTTAGCGAGTCTAGGCCAGGGTAATGCTGTGACGCAGGCGTGGCATTCAGCAGTAAGAAGGGCCGCTCTTCTCCAGGAAACACTGGGTACACTGTTCTTGGGGACTGCCTCATCAGGTTACCATGTGCTCTAAATCCTGGCATGGACTCATTTCCGGCTTCCGTGGCTCCCGTCACGCCCATCCCTAGCAGGACCAATCACTCATGTGGGTGGGTGGGGCATTGTGATTGACAGCCTCTGTGACTTCCTGGGTTCTGTTTTGTGTGGGAAGTAGAATTTTTCCCTGCACTAGAAAAATGAAAGGAAGAAAAGGAAGGCACACAAAATATAAGCCCTTGCCTTTTTTTTTTTTTTTTTTTAACTGTGATGAAATACACATAACTCAGAATTTGCTATTTTAGCCATTTTAAAGGGTACTATCCAGGGGCTGGGAAGATGGCTCAGCGGCACAGCACCTGCCTGGCAAGTGCAAGGTCCTGAGTTCGATTCCCGGTACCAAAAAATAAAGTGCACAATCCAGCAGCATTTGTACATTCACAATGTTATGTGACTGTCACTGTTACGGAGTTCTAAAACATTATCATCCTTACAGGAAACCCCCTTGGGTTGAGCAGCCTCTCCCTATGCGCCCCCCAGCCCCTGACCACACCAACTGCTTTCTGCCTCCACAAATTTACCTGCTCCGGATGTTTCATGTAAATAGACTCATACACTGTCGGGCGTGGTGGGACACACTTGTAATCCCAGCACTTGGGAGGCTGAGGCAGGAGAATCACCAAGAGTTCAAGGCCAGCCTGGGATACATAGTGAGACCTTGTCTTTAAAGATATATATGCTTTGTGGCCTTTGATATCTGACTTTTTTCACTCAGCACGTTTTCAAGGTTCATTCAGAGGCGCCCCTGTGGAGTCCTGTTCTCCCTATAAACACAACTCATCCTCTGGTCAAAGAACTCGGAACTAGGATGCCTTCCTGGCTGGCTGCCTCTTAGCCAGTTAGAAAACCAGCTAACATCCTGCCTAGGAAGGGGTAGCAAATTCTTTACTCAATAGGACCCCGAAACCACAACAATCTTCCATAGATGTGGCTCTCAGCCTTTGGCTGGGAAATGGGCACCTCCACAGATGCTATCCCACTATCTGAAATCTAAGAAGAGGAAATAACACGTCTCTCTAGAAAAGTACTCATCTCAGTAGATCAGGCCACAAAGCATACATATCTGGCAACAAAACCTCAAAATAAAAGTCAAGTATGGTGGAAATTTAGTCAGCAAACACAGGTTATACGTCTTGTTTTTTTTTTTTTTTAGACAGGGTTTCAGTATATAGTGCAGGCTGGCATTGAACTCATGGCAATCCTCCTGCCTCGGCCTCCCCAGTGCTAGGATTACAGGTATGTGTCACCACAGGTGTGCATTACACATCTTTTTACACAATGACATAAAGTTGAAACCCCAGTTATGACAACAATGGTGGGGCTGGGGATATAGCTCAGCGGCACAAGCACCTGCCTGGCAAGCTCAAGGATCTGACTGCAGCTCCCTGGATGGCCTCCTTTGGGTCAGCTCCAGCTCCAAAGGGACCTGAGAGTGGATCTGCATATCAGGAGGGCCATCAGTAAAGTACAACTATAACTGATCCACAGCAGCCCTCCTGCTCCCTGCAAAGCCTGAAGCCTTTCACTCTACAATCTGATCCTCTCCAAATGGTGACGAAATCAACCATTTATTCCAGGAATCTATGCTGTGCACCACAACAAACATATACCCAAGGATGCTTTTAAAAAGAAGAGTGCCAGGCGTGGTGGCGCACGCCTGTGATCTCAGTACTCGGGAGGCTGAAGCAGGAGGATCATTGTGAGTTCGAGACCAGCCTGGACTACAAAGTGAGCTCAAGGCCAGCCTGAACTGCATAGAGAGACCCTGTCTCAAAAAGACACATACACACACACATACACACACACACACAAAGAAGAGGAACATCTCCCCAAGACAAGACCCTCCCTCCTGGCTCAGTTGCCTGGCCACCAAAGACTGCCAAGTCTGCCAGCGCTTGGTGAGGTCTTCAAAGTTCTGCTGATGTCTGGTAAGGTCTCCTGGCCGACTCGCCAAACGCAGCCATGTGGTAGTTCCAACCGGTAAATTCCAAGCTTGTGTGTACAGCAAGCAAAGAATCGCAAGGCGTACTCAATGGTTAGGGAAAAGCAGCTGTGTGTATCGAAGGTCATGAGCAGAGAAACAGTGCTGGGACAGTAGAGAAGGAGCAGTGCACGCGACACGCACCCCTCAGGCTTTCGGGATCAGAGCAAGAGAATGGGGGCTGCGTGTGCTGTGATGTGGGGTTGTACAGCATGCTCCTCGGTGGCGCCTGAGTTAGGGTGGGAGGAGGGGACACATTGGGGGCGATGGCTTAGGTGGTGCCCCTGCTGAAGTGGGTGGAGGGGAGTGAATTCATCAGCTGTCTGTACTAGGATGAAGCCTACCTGGTCATCACATACAGCAAATCCCTGACTTAGGAAAGAGCTCCATCCCGAGAGGAGGTTTGTAAGTCGGATTTGTTCGTGAGTCCAACAAAGTGAGTCTTAGATATACCTTTGACACAAATATACAGTGTCAAGCATAAAAAAGCCAAACACACACAAAAGTACTGCAAATAAACTATTTTCACCTTTACAGTTACCGTGAAATGGTGGCACAGTACGGTACAGTATTTTCACTTTTTTTCCATGGTTATGGCTTTGGGCTTCCTAGCAGGCCCTGCCACGCCGCACTGCTTTTCCGCCTGCTTCCCGACCTCCTGGGCTCTGCCTGGACACGGCCCCGCTGTACGCTGTTGCCTCTGTGCTCGTTAACGAGATCAGCCTGTAGTTCTCTTTTTTGGTTGGATCCTTGTCTGGTTCTGGAATCATGCTAGCTTCCAGGAATGACTTTGGAGGTACTCCTTCCCGTTCAGTTTCACTAAAGAATTTGAGGGTATTGGGGTTAGATCTCCCCTGAAGTTTTTAGAGAATTCAGCAGCAAATCCATTTGAATTTGGGCTTTGTTAGTTGGTAGGTTTTTAAATTACTGCCTCACTTTCACTGCCTATTATTGGATTATTCAAGTTTGGGTATTTGTTTTGTTTTGTTTTGTTTTTATTGGAGAGAGAGAGACATCCACACCCAAGCTCATCCCCTGCCGTCAGGGCCACTGGCCTCCCTTCCTCACATTCCAAGATCTTGCAACCCCAGGTGTGGCCTGCCGGACCAAAGACCTGGTCACCAGGGTCCCTTTCACCTCTCCTGACGTCTAGGCTCCCTGCCCACACTCTGTAGTCAAACCTCTGTTTCCTTCCCGCCGAGCCTGAAACTGTGAGAACCCTTAGCTGGGCTGTCCTACCCCCAACACACCCAAGTCCTGCTGACCTTCTCAACCTCTTTTGTTTGTTTATTTGTTTAGCTTGGTGGGTTTTTTTGTTTTTTGTTTTTGTTTTTGTCTTTTTGAGACAGGGTCTCACTATGCAGTTCAGGCTGGCCTTTGGCTCACTTTGTAGCCCAGGGTGGTCTCGAACTCACAACGATCTTCCTACCTCAGCCTCCCGAGTGCTGGGATTACAGGCAGTCCTTCCATTTTGATTGGTGTGTTTTGGGGACCTTTGTCGACTCTGAGGTCATGAGGTTCTCCTATTTTCTTTTCTAAAAGCTCTGTCATCCTGTGTTGCATCTGGAGTTGGCTTGTGTGTGCGATGTGAGGTAGAGGTCAAGAAACTTCACACCAAGTTATTTATTTATTTTGAGACAGGGTCTTGCTAAACTGCCCAGGTTGAACTTGGACTTTCGATCCTCCTGCCTTAGGCATCTAGAGTGTTGGGATAATAGACCTTTCTTTCTTTCTTTCTTTTTTGAGACAGGGTCTCGCTACATAGTTCAGGCTGGTCTTGACCTCACTCTATATAGCCTAAGCTGGCTTGAACTTGCGGCAATCCTCCTGCCTCGGCCTTCCAAGTGCTGAATTACAGCTCATTATCTGTTTAAGTGAGTTTATGATTTGTTCCCCTAAAAGATTATTTGTTCCTAGGGCATGTAGCAAATGGAGTGTATATAATCAGCACACAATAAAGTGCAGTGAAAGAGTGCCCATCAGAACCGCAGCTTCATGTAGAAGGTCTGGGCAGACGTGGGGACTGGGGGACCCTGGGACCCTCTTCCCTGGAAGGGGCTCACAGCTGGAGCTGACGCATCAACCCTAGTGTGCTTTTTAGCAAAACGGTTTCTCCCGAGGTGACACAGCATTACTGCCACTTGACCTCGTGCTGACAGTGACTTGTCTCTTTCCTGAGGTAGTCACCAGGAGTGCCCAGGCCAGCAGGCAGTGCCAGCTGCATGTCCCCTATGGGGATGGCAGAGGGGACAGAATGGACATCTACTTCCCTGACACGGAGTCGGAAGGTGAGCTGGGGCGGGCTGGCGGCCCTCGGCAGGGTCGGCCCTCGGCAGGGTCGGCCCAGCGCCTGCTCAGGTAGCGCTGTGTTGTCTTCCAGCCTTTCCCTTCCTCCTCTTTTTCCATGGAGGCTACTGGCAGAGTGGAAGGTGAGTTGGGGAGTTCGGATGAAGGGTGCGCCAGGAAGACTCATCTTTCCCTGGTGTATTGATGTCCCCAGGCTGCTGGGAGAGACTACCTCAGCTGGGGCGTCCAGCAACAGCAGAGGGTTTTCCCACACTGTGGGAAGCCGGAGTCGGAAATCGGGAGTCACGGGACGGTGCTCTCACCAGTCTCAGGGACGGTCCTCCTGCCTCTTCCAGCTTCTGTGCACCCAGATGCTCTTGGCTGTGATTAATTCTGAATGGCCGAAGGAACGGCTGAGCTAAAGCTAGCCCAGCCCTTGGCTGTGGCTCTGTCACTCCAGTCTCGCCTCCACCTTCTCATGATCATTTGTGGTGTGTCTGTCTCACATCTCCCCCTCCTTTTCCTTTTCCAGCCAGTTATTGGATTTGGGACCCAACCTAATCCAGGGTGATCTGATCTCAAGACTCCCAATTCTGTTTGCAAACATCCTATTTCCAAATAAGGACACACTCGCAAGCTGTATCTCGGGGGAAACACAGCTCAAGCTGCTATACCCCGTGAGACGTGTGCTGGCTTGGCCCTTTCATCAAAGGAAAACAAAAGTGACCCTCCGGTCCAATTTGCGTGAGACCAGAACATGGAGTTTTGGTGTCTAATACTATAGAAAGGGCCAGGTGTGGTGGCGCACACCTGTTATCCCAGCACTCGGGAGGCTGAGGCAGAAGGATTGCTGAGAGTTTGAGGCCAGCTTAGGCTACAAAGTGAGTTCAAGCCAGTCTGTTTTTTGGTTTTTTTTTTTGTTTGTTTTTTGGTTTTTCGGTTTTTCTCCGGTACCGGGAACCGAACTCACGACCTTGCACTTGCCAGGCAGGTGCTTTTGCCGCTGAGCTAAATCCCCAGCCCCCTCAAGCCAGTCTGAACTGCATAGTGAGATCCTGTCTCAAAAAATAAAACTACAGACAGGGAGGGTCCCAGGCAACCGGCACGTTGGTCATTTTAAACTTCAGAAGAGGGTATTCCCATGCAAAGCCCTCCCTGCTTCATGTCTTCATTGAGGCTTTCTTTTTTTGGTACCGGGAATTGGACTCAGGACCTTGCACTTGCCAGGCAGGCGCTGTGCTGCTGAGCTATATCCCCGGCCCTGCTTCGTGTCTTCGGTTCTCAAAACAGCTTGCCTAAGGGAACAAAATTGTGCCTATATTACACATGAGGGACAAAGTCTCAGAGGTTAAAGTCCCAGGGTTCTTGAGGCTTGCTTAAGGACACAGCATGTGCCGCAAGGCATGTCCAGGATGTGGGGGGCACTGTCACAACCAAGTTGCATCTAGGTGTCACCTCTTTGTCTTTTTGCAGTAAAGACCAGTCAGCCTTCATGGTCAACCCGCTGACAACACAGGGAGTGGCCGTGGCGATAGTGGGTTACGACGTAGCCCCCAAAGGTGACAAGGGTTGTCCCTGCAGGTTCAAGGGCTTTGTGGGGAGAGGCACTCTTGGGTCCTGACCTGGCCTGTGCTCTCTGTTTAGGGACCCTCGACCACATGGTAGACCAGGTGACCCGAAGCATAGTGTTCATCCAGAAGCAGTATCCGAGCAATGAGTGAGTGTCATGCCAGACCTTGGTAGACTGCCTTGGTAGACCGTCGGAGGACCATGGGGAAAGTACAAAGCCGGCTCTGTGTCTGCCCCACTCAGGGGGATCTACCTGTGTGGACACTCTGCGGGAGCCCACCTGGCCAGCATGATGTTCCTGGCCAGCTGGACCGAGCATGGAGTGGCGCCCAATCTCAGAGGTAACGTGGGGCTGGCGGGTTTGGGCCGGTTGCTTGAAATCCTGAGTGGCTTCCCCTGGAGGCCGGCTCGGAACCGTGGGGCGCGGCCTTTCTCTGCTCCCAACCCCGGTCCTGCTTCCCTGGCCTGGAGGGTGGGCTCGTGCCCTCTCCATCCACCAGACACCGGCGCTCGCTCCGAACCCTCACAGGCTTTTTCCTGGTGAGTGGGCTCTATGACCTGGAGCCCATCGTGTCCACCTCGAACAACGCCCTGCTCCTCATGACCCTGTGAGTCGCCTGCCCTGCCCTCCTCTCCGCCCAGCCTTGGGCCTGGCATCCCTCTGTCCTGACCCCTGTCCCACTCGGTCCCAGGGAGGATGCTCAGAGGAACAGCCCACAGCGGCGGCTGCACAGGGCCCCGGCTCCGCCTGCGGATCCAGCCTGCCCCGTCCTGGTGATGGTGGGTGAGCACGAGTCCCCAGAGTTCCACCGACAGTCCTGGGAGTTCTGCCAGGTACTTGCGGCACCTGGTCCAAGGGCCATGCTGTCTCCTCCCTGTTGTCATTTTGAATGGACCCAAGATCGTCAGTCATTGATTCAACAAAGGCAGGATGAGCGCCTGCCATGTGTGCGCGAGCCGGGCAGGGGTGAGGGTCCCCTTCCCTCCCCGTGGCTCAGGCCCCTCTTGCCGCCCTCTCTCCCCACAGACCCTGTGCCGAGGAGGGTGGGAAGCCTCGTTTAAAAAACTGCCCGATATGGATCACTTTAGTATCATTGAGAATCTGACCAAGAAGGACTACGTGGTCACCCAGGTAGGGCTCCTGCTTCGGTGAGTGGCCGGGTCCTGTCCTCACCCCTCACACACAGGAAGGGGAGGCAGGGACAGAGGGAGGAGCCACCTCTGCTGCACTCTGCCTCTTCACCTGACGGTACTTGGGGCACCGGGCCGGGGGCGGGGGGTGTCCACTTTAGGTTCTGGCAGGGTGGAAGGAGCAGGCCTAGGCTCTTAAAGGCAAAAGCCAAATCCAGGCTAGGCATGGTGGTGCACGCGTGTAATCTCAGCACTTGGGTTTTCCCTTTCTCCTTTGCTTTTCTTTCTTTCTTTTTTCTTCCTTCCTTTTCTGTCTTTCTTTTTCTCTTTCTTCCTTTCTCTTTCTTTCAAGAGGAAGTCTCAAAAGAGGCTGGGGTGGAACTCACTGTGTAGCCCAGGCCAGCCTGGAACATGCCCTGATCCTCTTGCCTCAGCCTCCCTGGGGCTGGGATTACAGGTGTGCATGACCACACCCGGCTTCCCCCCAGCATTTAGGAGCTGATGACAACAGTTGCCTCAGCGCTCTGAAGAAAAAAAAAGCCAACTCCATAAAGGAAGGGATAGATGGATTTGGGAACATAAATGTTTATTTTTTAGCTGCAGAAGAAACACATGTCCTCAGAGACAGCCTGTGCTCTGGTTAGCTCCTGCAGGAGCCACTCCAGTACTGCGCTCCTGTATCTTCCTTTCTTGCTGCAGATCATGGTGAAAACAATCTTCCAGGAGCTCTGATGATGCTGGACTGTGGCCTCTGAGCAACCACCATGAGAGCCGTCAGAGCTGAGGTGACTGTCTGCCCTGGGCGTGAGCCATTCTTCTCCCTGCTATGAGCACCGCTCAGAATCTACCAGCCTGGATGCGCACCAGGGAAGGTCCGCAGGGCCGTGCTGTGAGATGCCTTGGCCATGTCGGAACCCCATCTGGCCCC